CAACCAAGAGGGGGCCTCTCAGGTAGCATGAGTGTAGTGTCTTTCTTTTCCCTTCATAGATTCTCCCTGAAGCAATTTTAGTCTGTCTGATCCCACATTCAATATGCTGTGAAGGACAGAGCTGTCTTTCCTCTTCCCCAGAAGTTATAGTTGTCTATGGTTGTAAAAATACAGGTAGTGCAAGTTTTTGAGTCCATGCTATGAATCTAAAATAGCAAGGGTGGCTGGCATCGTGTTCCCCTTATACTTAGCACAGAGCTCTTTAGAGGCACACTACAGTACAGACTGTTTGCTGCTTGAGTAACCACTGTGTGGCTGCCCTTGGTGTGTGTGTCTCATTGTTTCAAGAGCTCAAAAGAAAATAAAGATCAGTTCTGTGAAACTGGCAAATGTCTTCAGGCAAAGGGAAGCTTTGGTTGCCCACTTTTCTCTTTTGCGTTTTCTTCATTTAAGGATTATATTATTTCACTATCTTCACATGTACAGTTCTCCTTTTTATAACCTGTAACAAACTGCCTTTTCAGTTAAAATATTGTACTAACTTTTCTAGCTTACATTTCCAGAAAGCAAACCCGAGTCAGTGTGTTTTAATCAATGAAATCTATTTTCTTTTCATTGATCACATTTTCTGTTGGCTTGTAAAAATGAGTTGATTGGCTTATTTGTACTTTTTAATGACTGCATTGATCTTTGATATCTCAGTTATCATCTCTGGAAGAGATATCTCTATTCTTACTCCCTTTTGAATAGATAGACTTAGAAACTACAAGTTTCCCAAATGATATATTTTATGTAAGTAGAAAAACAATGGCATTGATGACCAGTGTTTGGGCAAAATGATTGTGTCATGCCAATGGAATAGAATTCTAGATCTTTTACAGCAGCAAAAATTTAAACTAACCTGGGTAACTATTTGGAAATATGAAATTATAAAACAAACAAATATAATTAATGTTAGTCTTCCTACTTGAATAATTTCATTCTTATTCTTATGTAGGATTTCTCTTAACATGAAATGTCTTAAATATTAATATTATAAATCATGACATTCAAAATTTCTCAAACGCTAACATGCTAAAAAGTCATAATATTGTTATTTAAATTTTTATGTAAAAGATAAAATCACATTTATTTCAAACACAAATATTTAACTTCCTTGTGAATCTCATGTATTTACATATTTGAAGTAAACACTTCATTTTCTTTGATATAGAAATACTGTTCCATAGTTAAAATGGCTGGTTCTTTCTTAAATAGAAGAAATCAAAACCACTTGGAAACCTGGTGGATTTCAGGTGTTGGACAGAGAACATCTAAAAATAATCTAGAACATCTTAGAATACCAGGAACTTATGAAACATGCCAAGAATGAGGGAAATATATTGAAAGGGACCAACATCAATCTCAAAGATCACCCATTGGCCAAATCTGGAAAAATTTGCAGATATAAATAACTATTTTTTTATTATAGCATGTAGAATATCATAATGGGGAAAACTGGCAGAAACATTTAGAGCAAGTGAGGAAGTTTCATGACTTGTGAGATAAACTGACATTCTGTCTCCTTGACACAATATGATACATTCAGAACACACCACTTCTGTGTGATGTCCTTCACAAAGATATATAAAAATCCAATCATGAGAAAATATTAGGCACACACTCATTTAAAGATGCTAAGTGTAAGTTAACTAGTAGTTAACTAGCTGTTAACTGCTGGAATAACTTAATGGAGAAAAGGTTTATTTTGACTCATGGGTTCAGAGGGTGCAGTCCAAGGTCCGTGGGTTCCATTGCTTTTAGACCTATGCAGTGGCAGCAACATAATGATGGAAGAGAATAACATTGAAAAGCTCAATTCATATCATCCCAGAGCCAGAGAAACAGAGAGAGAGAGAGAGAGAGAGAGAGAGAGAGAGAATAG